ACAAGAAGCAGCAGCTGAGTGAAGGTCCAGTCCGGCTCAATGGAAGAACGAATGAACAACTGAATGAACCTACCTCCCGCCCTGGGCCTAGGCCAAAGTGATATACCGGCCTAGGTCCAGGTACGGGACAACCTGGTACCGGACGAGGGTCAGGCCAACGGCCTGAAACTGGTCCAGCCTCACTGCCGGGCCGTAGGGGTACCGCTACACGATCCTCGCGCCTGTGAATGGATCAAGCGATACATCAAACAGGCTATCCGCTGAAATAGCGGCAACCCAAAAGGAACGGCAAAAGAAACAATCCTAGATGCGGAGCAGGCTCCATGCAGGAAAAGGGATGCAATGCAGACTAAGCCTCAAGCCTAATCTATACAACAATGTCTGGTCTGTGTCGACCCAAAAAGTAGAAAAATGTCCAACCTGTGTCGGCCAAGAAAGAGAAAAATGTCTGACCTGTGTCGGCCAAGGAAAAGGAAAAATGTCTAACTTGTGTCGGCCAAGGAAGAGGAAAAATGTCTCATGAGCCAAATAGGCTGAATATAAATCAACCCCAGGGCCCTAAAGGCCAAAGAATAACTAAACCAATGTCCTAAGTCGAAAACCAGAGTGGCACAGTCTCACGTGCCCTGTACACAATGCACAATACTTAAACAAAGGAGAAGGGAACTCAGTCACATGGCAGAGGTAGGAATGGGTGGGAAGGATGTCATTCCCTCCCAGAAATGTCTGCTCAAGAACTACGCTACGTCCTAAAAGGCTGTCATTCCCTCCCAGAAAACCTAACGCAGATCCAAAACAGCATCCCTACACACTGGCTCCCCCTCCTAAGAGAGAACTTCTCGTGGAAATCTGGGGACTGGGGGATACTAATATCCCAAACACAGCCTATCAGAGCATACAGATTTGTAGCTAGAACCAACCCAACCGGCTACCTCTCCAAATTCTACTCATACCCCATAGCCAAACACAGCACTTACGAGTCATAAATCCAGAACAAAGATCCCCAGTGTGACATAATCGAGACATTCCGACTGAGGAAAGTGAGGGTCTCAAAGAACAAACCCTGGAAACTCTTCCGACAGGACCTCAGCATCTCTGAACTAGAATTCGACCCGAAAGATTGGGTTTGGAAACAGGGTAATTCAGGGAGAACGAGAACGATAGACGAATACGATGTTAAATTCGGTTATGAGCAGGGCCTACAAACCACAAACCCGGAGCCTAGACTCCAAGGGAAATGGAGGGAAATTCTGAGCCTAGACCCCTCGGTCCCCATATCCATACCGTGGCCGAAGTTCCTATCCATCAGACCAACTAGGATCCGAGGTATGCAATGGCTCATAGCGCACACCTCACTGCCAACTAACCAATGGCTCCACAAAAGGAGAAAACACACTGACCCTAGTAGCACCGACCTGTGTAAACTCTCCACAGACAACATCCCGGAAGACATACCCCATTACCTCCTGTACTGTACGGAAGCAGCGTGGATCCGGAACAAAGTGCGCAACCTGTGGCACATCCTCTTCTCATCACGACCCCCCTCAACATCCTGCTCTTATCTAACAGCATTAACAATCTCAGAGGCGGAGAGGAAGTGTGGTACCATGTACTTAGAAAGCTGACTTTGTGGGTGATCTGGAAGAGGAGATGCACCAAGACGATTGAAAGAACGGAGGTGCCAAGAGAAGAAATGTGGGCACTCTTGCTGAGAATGGCTGAAACAGAGATTCGAGGCAGATGGAGGGAAGTGACATCAACGACGAAAGGCAGACCAGAAAGGAGAGCCACAAAGAAACGGGTGCTCATAAGAGACTGGCTTCTACAAGGAAAGATTGCCACTGTGGAGGACAACAGACTGGTTTGGAGGAAGTGGCACACCACGAGGACAGGGACTTAGAGAAAAACAAACTGAGATCATAATCTCAAAAGCTAAGACAACTCACCTCTTTTCTCGCTATACAAGTGTTATCTGACAGAGACACAGTAAACTCTGAGAGGAAAAGTGGAGGGCAAGCTGACAGTCAATCCTCCTGATAAGGAGTAATCAATGCTGGTCAGGGTTCCTTCGACCAGACAGAAGGAAGCGTGAGGGTGTTCACCATGTATTCCAATTTTGACTTGCCGGTGGAAAGGAACCGGACTGACGCTCCCCAGAATGGATATGGAGCCAGGACCATAAGGACCTGTTTTAATAAAAAAAAAAAAAAAAAAAAAAAAAAAGGGATGGGTGGGAAGGCGGCAGGTACAGCTCTCAGAGTAAACTCCAAGGGGGCACCCACACAACCAGGTAAGGGTCATCAGCCTTAGAGGGAGAGTAACAACACGACACCGGGCTCAATGGAAACCATCAAACGGGTACCGCCATCTGAAAGGGGAAGGGCACTCACACAAGGGAGCACGCATAAGGTGAGCCTGGAAGGTGAGAGAGGGCTATGCCGACATAGACATGTGGCCAAAAGCCGCGAGCAAAGAAAACGTACACTCCAGAGGAGGGCGCGCAGTATAAGGTAAGGCAGAAGGGCGGCAAACGGACACACCCACATAGACAGAGAAAATAGGGGTCATCATGCGACTGGAGGGTAACTCGAGGGTAAGGATACATGGGAATGATGGGAACTCCGTAGCCGAAAAAGTGAAGTAGTCAAACTGATGAGTCTCCAAACTGAAGTCGAGTCGAAGTAGCCAGGATGAAGTAGGAGTAATGTAGAAACCGAGTAGAAGTCTGGAACAATGCGAGATGTACTTTGGTACTGAAGTGAAGCACTGAGGTCGGAAGTCGATGTAGAAGCCCAATGTAGAAGCTGAAACCGGGAGCTGTTGCATAAGTGTCCAGGAATGGTAAAAGATAGAGAGCGTATAGGGGGGTAAGATCAGTCACGATATCGGGAAGGAAGTCGATGGGTACGCTGAGGGCGCGAGGACTCAACTGCAACAACAGGCGGAACCACATCCACAGGGGAAGGAGGACCTGAGGTGGGTACCGGTGGAGCAGGAGGACCCATCGATGGAGGCGGGGGAATGTTAGTGGTCGCAGAAGTAGATGGGTCAGTAGTAGAAGGACGAGAAGTAGGGGGGGAGGATGATGAAGGGAAAGGATGAGCACGATCGTAAGCACCCATGAAAGTCATAGCATGCTTCAAATGCTCAAGAGGCTCCCAAGTAGACTCCTCGTCAGGGTAACCCTTCCATCGAACGAGATATTCGAGGCGGGGAGGGTCATCATCAGTCATACGCCGGGACGCGATATCAGAGATGACAAACTCCTCATGACCCTCAATGATGATGGGAGAGGGGCGAGGGTAAGGTCGACCATGGAACTCAGGAGGAGACCGTCTGAAGGGGCGCAAAAGAGATACATGGAACACGTCATGTAAGTTAGCGCTGTACATGGAATCGGGGAGCTTCAATTTGAAGCTCACCGGACAGTCATGGTTGGGTCCGGCGGGTGCAAGAATGGTGCATGGTCCAATATATCAACGTCTGGATTTCCGAAGTGTGTCAGCTTCGGGGTGGAAGTGATGTGCGTCGACAAGAACCTCGTCGCCAACTTTGAAGGGATGGTCGATGCGAGAGCGGTTAGCGTGAGTGGCCATGCGAGCCTGGGAGTCAGCAATGCTTTCACGAGCCTTGCTAAGAAGCGCATCCATCTCCTTTACCCAGTCATCGAGGGCAAGGCATTTGGTGTCAGGATGGATCTGAGATGGACGGAGAAGGTCAGATGGGACATGAGGATGGTATCCCAAGTCACAGTAGTAGGGAGACATGCCAGTGGCAGGTGAAATAGCATGGTTATAAGCAATCTCTGCGTGAGCAAGATGCAGATCCCAATCAGAGTCGTTATCAACAAATTTCTTGAGGATACTCCCAAGAGTTTTGTTGGTGACCTCGGTCTGTCCATCTGACTGGGGGTGATAGGAGGAGGAGAGGTGGAGCTCGGAGCCATAGATCTCATGGAGTCCACGCCAGAAATGAGAAGTAAAGCGGGGATCCCGATCAGAGACGATGTTAGTGGGAAGATCGTGATGAATGGCAATACGGTTGAAGTATAGGGAGGCGATGTCTTTGGCTGAACTAGCATACTTGCAAGGGAGGAAGTGAGCATGCTTAGTCAACCGACAGACAACGACGAAGATGGCGTCGTGGCCTCGTGGGGTAGGGGGACGAAGAGGACCGATGAAGTCCATGGAGACGGAAGTCCAAAGCTAAGTGGGAATGGGTAAGGGTTGAAGAAGACCGTAGGGGGGGTGGTTGGGAATGTTGGCCTCCTGACAGATCCTGCAGGTGCGGACGTACTCCTTAGTGAAGGGACGACGGTGCTCCCAGTAGTAATGGCGGTAAAGGCGGTCAAGCGTCTTGAAGACACAGAGATGACCGGCGGCGCGCTGGTCGTGACACTCAGCGACAGCCCGAACGCGGAGCTGGCCAGTAGAGGGCACACATAAGTGAGGAGTACGGGTACCTTGGAGACCAAGCCAATATAGGAGTCCAGAGGGATCGAGCTGGAAGTTAGGGACGAACTTGCCAGCCTGTAGGTCAGCGTAGATGGACGGAAACTTAGGGCACTGGGTGTATGCGTGGCGGTACTCATCCAGAAAGGCGGGGTGGATGGTGGGAGCTGAAATAGCAGATAGCTGACGATCCTCGCACTGAAGGTCGGGGTGGCGGGATAAGGCATCTGCAACATGATTGCTTTCGCCGGAAATCTTCTTGATGGTGAAGTCGAACTCCGAGAGGTCACGCCACCAATGAGCCTGACGAGAAGTGAGCTTAGGCTTCGTCTGGAAGGCGGCAAGGACAGAGTTGTCCGTCAAAACGGTGAAAGTATGACCGTGCAAATGATGACGCCACTTCTTAACAGCGTAGACCAGCGCAAGGACCTCACGCTCGTCGGCAGTATAGTTACGCTCAGCGGGAAGTAGCTGTCGAGATAGATAAGCAACCGAACACTCTCCATCGTGAGACTCGACTGTACCGTCATCAGCGACGTCAGGAATATAACGGGGTGGGGCCCCGGGGGGGTGGGCTCGATGGGTGCAAGATGAGCCGCAGTCGCTGGAGGTGGAGGGGGGAAGCAAGGAATGCGAGGGAGGCGGGACTCTGTGGAATCAGGAGAAGTAGAGGGGGTTGGCTAGATCTGGGAGAGAACAACTCCAATAGCGAAGTCGGATGCGTCGGTGGTGTCGATGAATGAATGCGAGTAGTCGGGTAAGTGTAAGACAGGAGCTGACGTGACAAGTCGCTTGAGAGAGCGGAAAGCATCCTCGTGAGCCGGGGTCCAATGAAAAGGTAGACGCCCGCGAGTCAAAGGGGTAAGCTGGGAAGAATATTGCGCGTAGTTTTTAAGAAAATGACCATAGTAGTTGGTCAACCCAAGGAAACTACGCAGCGCAGGAAGAGAGGTAGGGGTGGGCCAGTCGACAATGGCCTGAATCTTCGAGTCGTCCATGTGGAGTCCGTGCTTGGAGACCTGATGCCCGAGGAAGTCGACTTACGGTTGAGCGAAGCTGCATTTGGAAAGCTTCGCATAGAACCCGTGGTCGCGTAGTCGCTGCAGAATAGTGCGAAGGTGGGTCAGGTGATCCTCTAGGGTACGACTGTAGATCAGGATGTCGTCAATGTAGACTTGAACATAGTCCTCAAAAAGGTCTTGGAACATCGTGTTCATAGCCGTCTAGAAAGTGGCGGGGGCATTACGGAGACCGAAAGGCATGATGGTAAACTCGTAGTGCCCAAAACGAGAACGAAAAGCGGTCTTGGGCTGGTCCTCCTCGGCTGCGCGGATCTGGTGATACCCGCTACGAAGGTCGATCTTCGTGAAGAAATGGTGGCCAGAGAGGCGGTCAAACAGGTCATCCGCGCGAGGCATGGGATAACTATTTTTGACCGTGTAGTGGTTCAGACCATGGTAGTCAATACAAAGACGAAGGGTGCCGTCCTTCTTGCGATCGAAGAGGACTGGGGCACTCCATGGGGAAGTACTCGGTTTAATGAAGCCCTGGCGAAGCAGCTCCTCAAGTTGGCGCTTGAGTTTCTGGGCTTCGGGAACCAAAAGGCAATAAGGGGCACGATTCTGAATGCGATAGTTGTGCTCGAGCGGGATGTGGTGCTCGATACCACGCATGGGAGGAATGCTGTTGTAGGAGACGGATGGTGGAAAAACATTGTGATACTCACGAAGGAGGGCACCTACGCTAGGCGGCAAGGAAGAAAAAAGGGTGTCAAATTCCTTGGCAACGGCAGCGTCTGAAGCAGAGGTGGAGGGGGTCTGTATGGGGGTAGGGACTGAGGGTGTATCAATGGTAAGGGAAGCGAGAAAGTGCAGTGGGCTAGCAGGTGTAGAGGAGGTTAAAGAAGTTGAGGAATCAAGAGGGTCAGGGGGCTCGGGAGGTGGTGGATCGAGCTCGACCAACTCAACGTCCTGATGCATGGAGTTGCAGGTGAGGAGATCCGTGATGTCGACAACATAAAGTTCTACATCAGGCTCACGAAGGAGGTGGTGGAACTGGGTAGGTGTACAGATGGTGACATTAACAGGGGGGGGAAGTGTAGAGTCCGATTTGCCCAACAATGGAATAAGGTATTGTTTCCCGTCCTTGGCGTCGAGGACGAGATCGTTGTGGGTCCAATCGGGGCCGGCATGAGCGAACTGATGTGAATAGGTAGTGCCAAGAACGAGATCATATAGGGTTTCCATGACATCTAAGGTCCACTTGTCATGGAACCGAGGGGCCTTGCGAAGGCTGTGGGGCATCCGCAGGGGGAAGGAGAATGGAAGATCAGGCACCACCGAATCGACGAAGGATTTGGCCTGATTGTTGCCAAGCGTGACAGTGACAGTGGAAGGGTAGGCGGATGTATAGAGAGATGCCTCCTTAACTACGCGAGGATGAATGAAGTCGCCAGTAGAGCCAGAGTCCCATAGTGTGTGATACACTCTAGTAGAGGTCCCGAGGCGCACTGGAATAATCGGTAAGGTGCGATCGGGATTGTGTAGGCGCTGAGACATCGCGGATAGAGTGCGCTCTTTAAGGCGGAGACGTTCCTGGTGGACCTTAACACACTCAAGGTCCAGGAAGTCAATGATATCCTTGGCTGCAATAAGGGAAGCACTGCAGCGGGTTGTGCGAAGAGCACGCCTGATAGGAGGACGTGGAGGAGGGGGGTCACGAGGGACGCTAGGCAAGGAAGGAGAAGGCATACCAGTGTCGATAGGGTCACCCACAGATAAGGTTGGACCAGAGTCATCGGGAAGAGTAGCAAGCGGTGCAAAGGTAGAGTTGTGAACGGGTAAGCCTGCTACCGTAGGAGAGTGAGGGGAATGGGACATCGCAGCTAGGTGGGTGTTGCATTGGAGGTCGAGACGGGGGGAACAGCCTGAGGGCGAGCCTGTTGTGCGAAGTGACTCTGGAGGGCGTCTGCGTACGGGCAGGTAGAGGGGGTATGGTTGGCGAGGCGGCAGCGGGTGCAGATGCCTCGTGTGCGAAGGTCCTCACTCTCAGCGATGGTCAAGCGGCTGCGAGGGAACACAAAGCCCGTTGGGAGAGGTAGTTGAGTGACCGTAGAGCGAGTCCTGGAGGATGAGGGCTGGCGTTGGAGGAGGGTGGAAAGGGCCCGGACAAGACGGTCATCATGGGAAGAGGCGTCGTCCTCCGCGGGGGAGTGAGGGTCGGGTCCCTGATTTGGGTCACTCGCAGAATCATCTGAGGCAGTGCCATCATCAATGCTCGGCGGATCACGAAGCAACGCATGTAGGCAACAAGAGAGGAATCGTCCAGAGCCTCTACGAGGGCCACGACGATATGTGGAGGACTATCGAGGTTGGAAGGGGCGAGTGTTGCAGTAGTAGCGGAATGGGCAGCGGCGGACTGAGGCGAGGGGCGGACGAGTGGAGCATAGGTGAGATGAATGACCCTAGCAATGTTGAAAGCCTCTGTTAAGGTGGAGATGGAGTACCCCATCATCTGCAACTGGAATGAGTGAGGTAGACCTGCGCGGAATCGCTGGATCATGGTGTCCTCAGGAATGGCTGTGACTAGAATCTGAGCGCGTACACGGTGAAATGTCGTGATGTATGACTCTAAAGCATTGTCGCCACCGAGCCATCTGATCTCAGCCACACGGGTAATCGGGTCGCGGGTTGGCACAGGACGAGAAAAATACTGTTGGAGGAAGTCGCGAAACTCATGATAAGACATGCCCTCATGTACACCACGCTGTGAGCGAAGGGCGAGGAAGTCGCGCCAGGTGGAGGCTGCGCGACCGGGCCACAGTTCCATGGCGACACCATGGTAGCGAAGCTGCTCCTCGGCAGTAGTGATCCATCCTTGGAGCTAGGAGGCCTTGCCGTCAAACTGTGGAAGGTGGTCCCGTCGAAACTGTGGAACATATGTCGGGGGCCGGTAATGGGTAGGGAGAGGAAGGGCCGATTGTGACAAGAGGACAGAAGAAGTAGTGGCACCAGCAGGACCACTAGAAAGAGCAGGGAGCTGGGGCAAAGGTCCCTGACACATCGTGGTGGCTGGAGGTGGGAGCGTGAAATGCATTGCAGCAGCTTCTGTCTGATGCTGTCGATAGATGAAAGGGGCAACAGGCTGTGCCGCGAGGTGGGGAGGCAGGGGTAGACCTCCTTGGAGTCGGCGGATGTGATAATGGGCCAGGGTGAGCTGGCGTTGGAGCTCGGCATTCTGTGTCCTGGGTGTAAGGGGGGGTGGGGGGAGGGGCGAGGGAGTGGGGGGTGATGAGGGAGGTGTCGTGGAAACTGACGTGGAGGAGGTGGCGGGACAAGATGCCATGGGTCCTGAGGAGGGAGGTGCAGGGGCAGAAACCTGGGAGGCAGAGATGGGTGCAGAGGAAGGGTGGGACTGGGGTGAGGACATGCAGCCCGTGGAAGAGACAAGCGTGTAGATGACGCCAGCCGAAGAAGGAGAGGAAGTTGGCATAGATGCAGATGAGGGGGGTGGGGAGGGAGATGCACTGGTACGGGGCTCCAACTGTAACACGAACGACAGGGATGAAAAGTCGGTATGGAGGGCCGTGATTTTGGCCTCGAGTGTGGCCTGCATGCAGTGGAGGAGGTCCAATATGGGATCCAACTGGGAAGTTGGGCCCGAACTGGTTGCTATAGGGGTGGCCATTGAGTCGGATGTAGGCTCGTGAGCTAGGAACGCAAGCCCTTCGCTGGTGGAGCGGGAGGGACTCACAAATTCGGTAGTCTGCATGGGGTCAAGGGATGAGATGATGAGGAGGGAGAACTGGGGGGGGGGGGGACGCTCAGTGGCCGTGGTCGGTGCGTCAAAGCGAGCGAGTCGGTTTGCGGCACGAGCGTCTCGGGCGCGATTTTGGAGTACGCGCTGATGGGTGTCACGGGGAGCCAGGTTGGTACACAGAAAGAGGAGTAAGGGACTGCGAGAGGAAGGCGGGTATAAGCGAGGTCTGACAAACGTCCAAAATTAAATCAAGAAAATTCAAAGTCGGAGTGAGGGAAAAAGAGGAAAATTTCCAATTCGGGGAAGAAAATGAGAGGAAATTTTCAAAGAATAGTGTGGGGTCTAGACGAGAGCATACATAAGACAATCACGAATTCAAAATAAAATTCCAAAAATATTTGGACGTAATTTCGGAACTTAGAAGAAATTTAAGCAAAATTCAAAGAAGTTCACAATTATTCGTAAAACTTTTCGGGAATTCGAGGAGATGATAGAGGAGGTAGAGATAAGTTCAGAAGACCATTTTGAAATAAAATGAAAAATTCCTTGACGTATTTCTGGAACTAAAAGAATTTCGAAGGCAATTTGAAATAAAAATGGAAAACTAATTCCTAAATTAAGAATTTACGATGAAAGTTCATAAAGAATTAGTGATAGCCAAGTACAGTAAGTTGGGAGAAATTCCAGAATTATATAGCTCAAATCAAGAATAATCCTCGATGTGTTGTGCAATTGAGATGAATTTCAAAGAAATTTCAAAGGAATTTCAAAGGAATTTTGAAGGAATTTCAGACTTTTGGAATTTTATGGGGGGTAGAAAATAGAAATTGATAAGACTTCGGAACAATTAAATTTGGTGAATTTCGAAAATTATTCAACGAATTTCTGAAAAAGAATTGAATTTAGAGAATAAATAACGAAAAGAATCTGGATAAAATAAAGAAATCCGCATAACTTTTGAATAAAAATGCCGGAATTAATTCTGCTCACGGCGTTGGTAGAAAAGAAGATGAAGATTAATCCTATTGAATTAGATTGAAGTTCTGAGCGGCAGAATAGACGGCATTGTCAGACAAGCAGAAAGAAGGAAGATACGTGTCACACGTTGTAGAAATTTTGGATGATGCGACCAATTAGGTGGGAGGGTGGAGAAGAGAAGGGGGGTTAGGGAGGAGATAAACAAAGGGGAAAAAGATGAGATCTTTGATAGAGATCGGCGAGAGGAAGGGAGAGGATTAGTAAGAGGGAGATAGATTGACAATACCGCCCTCCCGGTCGGACGGGAGCAATCAAGGTCCTTCCTCCTAGTCGAGGAAGGTCTTCAATCAACCCCTAAAGGGTCTTCTCGATCGTTCCCCCAGTGGAACGACGAGGTCGCCGGATCAAATGCGCGCACTGATGATGACAAGGCAATGTAATGATGACTTCGACAACGGCGACGATGTTGATGATGATGATGATGATGATGATGGCCACGAACCAGTTAGCCGTGTACTAACTTTTCTGACCCCTCCAGCTTCAAGTCCCGAAACCGCTGAGGAATCGATAGGCCACGCTCTCACAATTTGTATTCGTGCTGGAAATCGAAGTCAAATGAGCTTTTGCCCTTTTGCTCCACACGAGATTTCTGTTCTCGTTGAGCTCATCTTAGGACACCTGCGTTGTCTTCGAACAGATGCCGTTCCGTCCAGATTCCCTGCGCGCACGGGGGGGGGGTGAGCTGGGAATGAAGCGTGAGAGGAGGGGCAGAGAGATCGCGCACACGTGCGCGAGGGGGTAGTTGGGTCCGGCAAGAACGGCGCAAATGGGAGGGAAGTCGAGTTCGAAGTTGGGGAGGGGAGTTGTGTCGGGATCGGGGAGGGAGTGGAATCGGGAGTGGGGGGATTGATGGAAAGTGGGGGAGCGAAGGTACGGGGAATGGACGCAGGGAGTCAGGGAGTGAGGGGAGGGGGGGGATCGGGAGGAAGGAGCGCTGGAGTCGGGATCGAGAGGTTAGATGGCGGAGTCGGGATTAAGAGGGGGAAACGGGGAAACGAGTAGGATGGGAGTGCGTGCGCGTGCAGAGTGGGGTCGG